AAGGGCCGATGGCAAAGGGCAGACCAACGAATTTCTGAAGTATAAATCAAGAGGCAGTGCCCAGCCATTCATTCATTCCTGCGTGAGCCATGCGGAAGCGCTGCCACAGCGACTTGTGCAAGGAGGTCTGCAGATGAGCCCGGAGGATGCAGTGGGCAAGAGAGGAGGAGTTAGCATAGCGATAGGCTAGAGGCAGCCATAGCTGCCATAGCTATAGTTAGTAGTGAGTGTGTGTGTGTGCTCGAGTGTTAGAGTGATGCGTGTGGGATATCCAGGGTGATCCAGTGTATGTGAACAGTGAGATGTTTGTGCGCTGAGGTCGCCATAGCCAATTGGGAGTGAACTCGTATATGAAAACCATATCTCTGAGTTTTGAGTGGGCGCATGTCGCCAGTGTGCTGCGTTACTGTTTACATGTGTGAAAAGTGTGTTTGAAAACGAGTCTGATTGCATAACAGTATCGACATCAACAAAACAGCTGGGCAGGTTCTCTCCCCCTTTCTTCACCTTTCCTTCTCTCTTTGCTGGTCTTTCTTGAGGGTTGATCAGGGCTCTGGGCGTGAGGGGTGGGTGATGGGAAGGCTTGGGAAACAGGAAGATAGTGCAGCGAAGAGGGAAGTTGGATGGTGGCGAGTGGGGGTGGGATAGGGTTGCCTTGGATAACTGGGTCGCACAGGGCAGCGCGCGAGAATTTGGTCTTATCGTGCCCTCTTAGGGTTGCGTGACTATTCAAGTTTGTCAAGAGGGCAATCGAATACGGTAACCTAGGCCTTGTGCGATCTTTCGAATACAGGATTGAGCAGGTGGCGGGGAATCTGTCGTGAACTGCCACGTGGCTACCTACCTCCCTTTCGAGATGAATTTGCATGAACTACRGCCTCTTTTGATYACCCCTCTTCCTTATCGATCGAGGTGCTGTTCAGTAGGCAAAGAATGACGGTTGAAGGTTTCGATGGGGGGTTGCGTTAATTGAATTTCTATCYTCCCTATTGCTGACTACCTCTCTTCCTCATGGCACGTTAACGAATCATGTGGTAGATGATGAGGAATTTAGAGTAGGGATATGATTTTGGATTTGGATGGGCAGTTAATCCCCTCAGTTGAGGGCAATCAATGCTGCTSATCGGGTGTCWGGAGTGCCAACGTGTCGGTTTCGATGATTAGCAGGACACGTGGCTTGCCCATATGAGCTCGAATATCTCCATAACAAACACAAACACTTTAAAATGTCAAGGGACGCTGGACCCGCTTTCCAGCAGGTGCTGCTCCCCACCAATAGATGGAGCCTCCCCGAGCATGCTAGCGGTGTCTGCTCGTATCAGCACCGCTAGCATTCACTTGGGTTGTTTTTTGTATAAAAAAAAAAAAAAAGAAAAGAAGTAGTGGTAGGTACTAGGTAGGGTAGTGAAAACGTGAACTGAAAGAATTTGAAATATGATGAAAGATTTGAGAGAAGAATATAGCAAAAAAAAATAAAAAAAAATCACCAGCACTTCGGAGGCACTTTCCTCCAACCCTTGAAATGCCCTGCGCGCCCAAAAAAATGAGCCGGCGCGACCTCATTTTTGGCTGGCACCGCCAGCCATTTTGCTTTTTGGAGGCTGAGCCCCGACAGTTGCGGTGCCTGCATGAAAACGCCTCACGGCCCTTGTAAGGGCCAAGTACTGGTGGTTTAATTTTTTCTTTTCTCTTTGTATGCTATTTCCCCAGGGTTTTGGACAGAAGTGATTTCTTCCCACGCAGGCATTCCACCACCCTCTACACCAACATAATGGACAGTATGGGGATCTCTTGCCCTTTTCTTTCGAAAGCATTGGATGATTGGAGTTTTGCTGATTTATGTATATTATGCCATCCTCATCCAGAGACCATGCTAATATTCTTCGTACAGTTCCAATCTCAGGAAGTTCCCAGCACACACTATTTTTAGCATGAAAGCAACCAGAAAGCCCACTTGGGGAGGGTGCGCCTACCGCCAAAAAAAAAAAAAAAAAAAAAAAAGGTGGCACACAGATTCAACCATTAAAAAGTTGAAGTATGCGGATGCAGATGGCACTTACAGTCACACACACGATCATGACCGTGGACTTTTCTTGCTAACCCAAAAAAAAAAAAAAAAAAAAAAAAACACCTTGGATGTTGGGCCCCACAGCCTCCATTTCCTGGGGAAGGCGCTGCAATGGCCCGTTTGAGTTTGGAAATCCCAGAAGTAGCCCCGTCAGAACGTACATGCATGCATCACGAAAAGCCACGTGCAGATGAAGATATTCTTTCTGACTGCAAAAGGTACGTTCTGATAGACCTCCTTCACGTCTCGGGCCTCCAATCTTGACCTGGCCAATTCATAACTTTTCACCTTTTTTTTTTTCCCCTTTTTTTACACTAGATTCTTTTTTTGTTTTTGTTTTTAAATTGAAGGCTCGATCTATTGGTGGGGAGCAGCACCTGCTGGAAATGGGGTCCAGCGTCCCTATACATGTTAAAACCAATTGTGTAGTAGAGAAGTCCATTTTCACAGACACGACTGGCAGTGTCAGTATAGCCTGAGATGTCATCCATGTGGCAGACTATGCTAGACTGTGGCTCTTGTATTCTGATTCTGGAAATGATTCAGGGCACTCGCCCCTCTGTGGCATAGAGCTTCCAGTTCCAATCTCACTCAAATCCTTTCACCATCTCTCAAATTCTCTCAAATTCACCTTCCACTACCTACCTATCACAACTCCTAAGGCTATACAGGGGAGCCCCGCAAAGATTGCTTTTTGCCTCTCAAAAAAAAAAATAAAAAAAAAATGAAAGGGGATGCATGTTGCCCCTTGCCCTAGTGGTTTAGGGTGCAGGGTTGGGGCCGCAGTGGGGGCCCAGCTAACACAAAAACAGAGCATTTTGTCTGTAGCTGCACCTCCCTTTTTCATCTTCCCCCACCCCCATCGAATACCAGCAGTGTCTAAGGCCAACGCTCTCCTACACACCACACACTTGCACTCACACCCTCGTTGGCGAAAGACCCTATGAATACCAAGCAGAAGGATCCAGCTGACTATCTCGGTTGGTTGGCACCAAGCATGCCCACGCGTTTATGGGGACTGAACCCATGACCTCCTGAATGCGACTTGCCTGCCTAACCAACTGAGCTAGGACGCTGGATCCTTTCACCATTTTTGGTTACAGAAAAGGATGCTGGGAAAAGAAATTGGAAAACAAGAACGTTCCCTCTCCCCCCCCCTTTCCACACACACACACACACACAAAAAAAAAAAAAAAAAAAAAAAAAAAACAAGAACAAGAAAATGGATGTGAGTGCGTGTGTGAGTGGGTTGCGTGTGGGAGAGTGTTGGCTTGAGACACTACTGTGACTCTAATGTTGGTGGGGGAAGATGAAAAGGGAGGCACAGTTACTGACAAATGCCCGGTCCTTGTGTTAACCGGGACCCCACCGGCGCCCCCAAACATGCACCCTAAACACTAGGGCAAAGGGGGCAAACATGCTGCTACCTCCCTCCGCCGAGAGAGGTAACCTCCCTTCACCGAAGAGAGGTAGAAAGCTATGCTTGCAGGGGTCCCCTGTATAGCCTTAGGAGTAGTGGTAGGTAGGTAGTGAAAGAAAGATATGT